TTGGTTGTGTCCGAGGAGTAGGCAAAATTAGCCGAACCTCGTAAATTCTGGTGTTCCCTTTATTGTTGTTTTATTGTCTTATTTATTATTTGGTGGCTGTCATAATTTTTGGTATAGTAGTTGTGACTTATTCACACTATATACATTTGGCTTCCGCAACAGTTGGTTCTGATTTCCTATGATGATTATAAATGCATGGAAGATACCTTTTAGGGTGTAATTTTTTCCTAGAAACTTTTAGCAATGTCCACAAATGGTCAGGGCAGAGTAATCAAAATGTTACAATAAAATATACATTAAGTTTAACATCTTTTTAATATTATAAAAAAATATTAAGTGAGATACAATAACTTTGCAAACAGACGATAAATTTAAGCGATAGAGTAACTCCATTACCAAGTAGAGCCTCCCGTATATCAGACACTGATTACATGAATCAAGTTTTTTAAAAAGAAACAGTGCCAAACATCCCACAAAAATAAAAAATGTCTAACTTCTCAAAATATTGGGAGTACCTTTTAAAAGGTGTATATGGACTAATAGAGTTAGATTATTTATTTTTAGATACTAGCGACATATGAAATTGACTGCATCGTAAATAGGCCAATATTCTATTTTTATGTAATTATCCAGTAATAAACAAACAATTCGCTAGGCGTATTCTTTTAAAAAAATCAAGTGATATGAACTAAAGATAAGAAATATAAAAAAAAATATTAAAAAGAGAGATAATAGTTAATACTAAGATAGATATTAACTTAGTTCAACACAAAAATTGGTAGTGAAAAAGAAGAGAAGGAATATACCAGACCCATGCGGAAGTATAATATTTATCAATAACAAATAATTTGTTAGGGTTAATATGATTTTTGGTGTAAGTGTTTGTCATGATTTATATATTTAATTTTCCTACATTAGATGCAATATGCTCATCCATCATCTGAATATTGTATACAAATTTTTCTTGTGTAAATGTTTTCGTCACCTGGATTCCTGATCATGACAAAGAAATCAAAGGAATAAAAGGAACATATACCAAGAATTTTGTTTATAAAAAAGTATTAGGTGGGATGTTTCATTGCATGTTTATAGTTTGTATCACATAAAAATAAACTAAATAAAGTAAAAACTCATATGTATTTGATTAAACTTTGATGGTTTATCTTTGTAAGTTCAAACCATATATCTAAGCATCTTGACTTTGATAGACAAGTAACATACGATGATCTACATTGATTATTTCCGTAAATTAAATTTATACTTTATGCTTCATGCATAATTATTTACTTAATAATTTATTGTAATAATATAAATATTATTTTATAAAATCAAGTGTTACGTGACTCAGTATACACGTGCAACGCACGTGCCGAGAAATTAGTTTATTATAACCACCAGAAGCGATAAGTGTCCCTTGAAAAGCCTTTCTAATGGTCTTTTGGTTAATTAGGCTAATAACATGGGTAATTAAGTAATTTAACTTTTAGTTTAGAGGGTTCCTGGTTTTATAGTAGTATACCAAATCATGTAATACGCTGTTTTATAAAATAATATCAACAATATTTGAATAAAGAGTTGAGTAAAAACTATCCACAAATGTATAAAGTATAGGTTTATTACGTGAATGATCAATATGAATCGTTGACATACTATCCACTTTGACTCTATGTTTTGATCTACATAAAGTTAAAGACAGACATAATTATTCTCGCTTTCTGGATATATAATGCATCCTTTACTTGTCTTGATATTTCATCTACAAGGAAATCATCTAAAAATTGAGTTATTATGACTTTTCAATATCATAATCTCAGAACATAATTTAAGAAAAAGTTAACTAATTCAAGAGGAAACAAGCAATTAGTTGGAAGATTACAAAAATAAAAAAATTAGAAGGAAGATTCCAAGCAATAGTTGATTGTGAAAGCCTATGACTAAGCCTATTATTTGTACAAAAAAGTAACGGTTGGCCTGCTTTCTCTTTTTAAGTACGTCTCCTCTTGTTCTTTATAGTCCTATGCAATTCAATTTTCCCCAAAAATGAAAACAGTAAATAACATTTACTAAAAAGAATGGTAGCCATTGACCAATTCAACACTTAATTAACTCGAGACTCAGCAACGTTTTCTTTGTAATTTATAGGTGTAATTCATTGTAATTTTTCAAGAAACTATCTCTTTCTTACATGGCTTTTGCAACTGTATTTTTTCTTGCTCTCTTGCTCTTTCCCCTTTCAGCCATTTCTCAATCTTACCAAAATGTTAGTTTGGGTTCATCACTCACTACAAGTGATGTTACTACATTTTGGCCATCCCCTTCTGGAGAATTTGCTTTTGGCTTTCAAAAAATTGGAAATGGAGGATTCATACTAGCCATTTGGTTCAATAAACACCCAGAAAAAACAATAGTTTGGTCAGCCAATAGGAATAATATTGCCCCTAATGGATCCAATGTTCATTTCTCCACAGATGGAAGACTAGTCCTCTTTGATCCAAATGGTCAAGAGATATGGGCTCATGGCACGGCCGGAGTGGCCTATGGAGCCATGCTTGACACTGGAAACTTTGTGCTAGCAAACAGTAGTTCAGCCATTTTATGGCAGAGTTTCGATGAGCCAACCGATACGATTTTGCCAGGTCAAGTACTTAATCAAGGAAATAAGCTTGTCTCAAGCTTCTCTGACACGAATGTATCGCGTGGAAGGTTCGAGCTCACACTTCAAATTGATGGAAATTTGGTGCTTTACACTGTAAATTATCCACTTGATGCACCAAATCGTCCATATTGGGCGACGAATTCAGTTGGCAGTGGTTACCAGGTGATCTTCAATCAATCCGGCTTTATTTTCCTTCGAGCACAGAATGGAACACTGTTAAATTCGATATCTTCTAATGAGGCAAACTCAACAACAAGTCAATTATACCAACGAGCGATTCTTGAATATGATGGAGTTTTTAGGCACTATGTCTCTCCGAAATCTTCCAGCGGGAGGCCCATGGCATGGTCTACTTTGCATAACATACCGGATAACATTTGTACCCTCAGGCAAAGTGTTGGAGGGGGTGCCTGTGGTTTCAACAGCATTTGCTCGATGGGAACTAACCAGAGGTCAAGATGTATTTGTCCATTCGGGTATATCTTGAATGATCCGAACGACAAATTAGGTGGCTGCAGACGAAATTTCTCTGAGCAAGATTGTAACCATGAATCGAGAGAAATTGAGGCTTTCACTTTCCGAGAAATGCCCAAATCTAACTGGTTTGACGGTGATTATGAGTCTTACCGGGATGTTTCAGAGGATTGGTGCAAACAGAATTGTTTGAGTGATTGTTTTTGTGCTGTTGCTATTTACAGTTACAAAGTTTGTTGGAAGAAAAGGTATCCGCTTTCAAATGGGATTCTGAATCCGTCAGATGATGGGAAAGCTTTGATAAAAATAAGGAAAGACAACTCCACACTAGGATCATCATCAACAACTACGCCGCCTCAGTTCCAAACAAAAAGGAAAAGTCAATCTACTCTAATCATTTCTGGTTCTGTGTTGTTGGGCAGTTCACTTTTCATCTTAATGTTGTTGGCCCTTATATATTTTTTCAAGTTTAAAGGGAAAACGCCAAAGAAACGTGTGCAATATCCAACGGTCCCAGGAGTGAACCTAAGAAGTTTTAGCTACAATGAGCTAGAAGAAGCTACAAATGGATTCGAGGAAGAATTAGGAACTGGGGCCTTCTCAACAGTTTATAAAGCAGTTCTTAATGACGAAAATGGGAAAGTCGTCGCTGTCAAGAAACTACACAAGATGGAAAGAGATGGAGAAAAAGGATTCGAAGCTGAAGTGAATTCAATCAGTAGGACTAATCACAAGAACTTGGTCCAACTCCTCGGATTTTGCAACGAAGGCCAACACCGGCTTTTGGTTTATGAATACATGAAAACTGGCTCAATAGCAGACTTGCTATTCAAAGATTCTAGGCTTAGTTGGTCCCAAAGAGTACAAGTTGCCATAGACACTGCCAAAGGGCTTTGCTATATGCATGAAGAATGTAGTACCCAAATTATACATTGTGACATCAAGCCTCAGAATGTGCTTTTAGATGAAAGTTTGACAGCAAAAATAGCAGATTTTGGAATAGCCAAGCTTTTGAGGAATGATCAGACTCGAACGACCACTAAGATACGTGGCACGAGAGGGTACGTAGCCCCAGAGTGGTTCAGGAACATGCCTATAACCGTCAAAGTGGATGTGTACAGCTTCGGAATCTTGCTCTTAGAGCTGATTTGCTGCAGAAAAAGTTATGAGCAAGATGTGGCAAATGAGGATGAAATGATACTTGTGGAGTGGGCTTGTGATTGCTATAGAAGAAAAGAGTTCCGTTTACTTGCGGGTGATGATGAAGAAGCAATAGAAGATATCAAGAGGTTTGAGAATTTTTTGATGGTTGCTATTTGGTGCATTCAAGAAAATCCAGCATTAAGGCCTAACATGAAAAAAGTCATGCTAATGCTTGAAGGTTCTATTGATATCTCAGTTCCACCTGAGCCTTTTTTCCTTTATTAGTTTTGTTTAGATCAGAAGGGAAGCCTTGGCATAACTGGTAAAGTTGCTGTCATGTGATCAGCCGGGAGCTTAGTGCCTTTCAGTTCTTTTTAGATCAGCCATATTTTTTTCCCTCATACTTTTGTTTGTCCCTAAATAATATTGCAATAACCTGTGTACTCATATACAATTCAGTATCTGTATCTTCGCTAAAAAAAGTTTCTTGTAATGTATGGTTTTCATTCTCCTATCTAATCATCAATTCATAACACTTGTTATTCTAACTCAAGTTCCCCAAAACATACAAGAAATGTATAAAATCCATCAATCTTTAAGCCAGTACTATTCCAAAGTTATGTTGCAAGATGCTTCAACAAGTACAAGCATGTCTGTTCTGGTATCTCTCTCCATAACTTGGTTAAACAATGCAATATTTAATAATTATCATGGTTTTTTATTCCATATACACATGGAAATGTACTTGGTTGAGGAGGCCCTAGTTCCTTCTTTGAATCCATTTGTGCCTTCTTCTAGCTCTTTGTAGTTGAAACTTCTTTAGTTCAATCTTGGAACATACAAAATGTAAGAATTTGAAAGACCAAAATTTAGGAGATTCCTTTTTTTCTGTATCTTAACCATTCTGAAACTTTGGTATTAATACCAACATAGCAACATGTCCACTACCTATTGTCTATTGAATACAAACAAATTAATGTACTATGTCTAACTTTATACAATATTTATATACACAACTATGTCTTATTATATTTACATAATAGCATGCCTACTATCTAATGGTTTCCAGATGGGAACAACTATATTTTGTTTCCAATTTGACAGCTATTGGAAGACCAATCAGATGTTGGGCCTGGGTCCTCAATTGTTGGGCCATTTCCATGCTTCTGGACCATTTCCATGTTGGGCTGCACAGATGAGGTTCTAACACCCCTCTCAAGTTAGAGGGGAGTGTAGCGAGGCCCAACTTGCCAAGAACCAAATTATGGGATGGCCCGGATAGGGGTTTGGTGAATATATCGGCTAATTGAGAGGATGATGGGACAAAGGACAGAGAAATCAAACCAGAGAGAAATTGTTGCCTCACAAAATGGCAATCAAGGTCAACGTGCTTTGTTCGCTCATGGAATACAGGGTTCCGAGCGATGTGAATTGCAGCTTGTGAATCAGAATGAACAGAAATCGGAAGAGACGGTGGTGTATCGAGATCTGTCAAGAGTCGAGTTAGCCAAGTGACTTCAGCAACTACCCGCCTCATAGATCGATACTCTGCTTCGGCGGATGAGAGCGATACTGAAGCTTGCTTCTTGGATTTCCATGAAATTGGAGATCCGCCGAGAGTGACAAAATACCCACTTATAGATCGTCGTGTATCAACACAAGATCCCCAATCCGCATCACAAAATGCAAGTAGTGTGAGGGAGGGAGCAGAGGACATGAAAATACCCTGTCCAGGGTTGGATCTGAGATATCTAACCACCCGTAGGGCAGCATTAAAGTGAGGCACTCGGGGTTGTTGCATGAATTGACTGAGGTGTTGTACTGGATAGAACAGGTCTAGTCTTGTGTGAGTGAGATAATTCAATTTGCCTAGGAGTCGGCAATAGACAGTTGGATCAGAAAGAAGGTCACCAGATTCACCACTAAGCTTGCATGAAGGGTCCAATGGAGATGTGGCAGAGGGCAAACTACTACAATCAAATTCTTCAAGAACTTCCAAGGTAAATTTCCGTTGACTGATGATTAAACCTTGTGGCTCATGAAGAGTCTCCAGACCCAAAAAATAGTGTAAGTCACCTAAGTCCTTGATCTGAAATTCCTGGTGAAGAAATTGTTTCAATTGATGAAGTTCTTCCTTGTTATTTCCTGTAAGCAGGATGTCATCTACGTAAACTGCGACAATTGAAATTGAATCTAGTGATTTCTTGTAAAAGAGTGAGTAGTCATTAAGAGATGAATGAAACCCTTTGAAACTTAATACGGCTGTTAGCCTGGCATACCATTGGCGCGAGGCTTGCCTCAAACCATAAAGTGATTTGCGAAGTAAACACACATGGTTGGGATTAGTTGGAATTTTGCCTGCTGGAAACATCATATATACCTCTTCCTGTAATTCACCATGTAAGAATGCGTTGTTTACATCTAGCTGTGAGATTCCCCATCCTTTCTTGATTGCAACAGCTAGAAGACATCGTATGGTAGTCATTTTTACCACT